AGCCAACCAGAGAAGGACATGGATGAGATGCAGTATATAATGAGCGACGTGGCCAGCGTGGTGGACTCGGATGGAAGGCGTCTGGCGTGTGGCTCTGGCTTCTGATTGGTCAATAAAGCGTGTTCTGTTGTACCGGTCTTTTACCTATTAGGGCTCGGGTATTCTACACTGGTGGTAGCGGACGCGTTCAAATAACGCGAATCGGACCCCAGCCCTTTCTCATCTATGGTCAACAGAGGCAAAGACCCTTAAATGCCAGCTGAATTTGTCATGGCGGTCATCCGATGTCCATACACTGAATCCATAGACATTGCCCGGGATTAGGACTACTGCGTCTGAAGAGGCATTGGCAACTCAGCGACGACGACTTGGATAGTGAAAGCCAGCTGGACTGCTTCTGCGAATGGACCTTCAATGGATGATGAGTCTTTCCTGCAAGTCTACAAGAGCGAAGTCCCTCGTCAACTATTCGCATGGGCCACTATCCTGCCAGATGTGGGGTGCGGGGATTGTCGAATTGGGTATTTTACCAACATTGGATATCAACAACAGTGCAGTGAACCAAGCCAGAAGGTGAGGACAACTTCACTGCTGAGGGGGAGGCAGTGTGGCGTCGGATTAGGGTGCAGACATGTTGGACCACCTGACCTCAGCCAATTCCGTGTCTCTCTGCGATCCAATGGCATGCGGGAAAGGAAGGCAGCCAACTAGAGAAGGACATGGATGAGATGCAGTATATAATGAGCGGCATGGCCAGCGCGGTGGACTCGGATGGAAGGTGCCTGACGCGTGGCTCTGGCTTCTGATTGGTTAATAAAGCCTGTCCTGACGCACCAGTCTTTTTCCTATGAGGGTTCGGGTATTCTACACTGGTGGTAGCGGTGGGATGCGTTCGAATAACGCGAATCAGACCCCAGCCTTTTCTCTTCTATGGTCTACAGAGGCAAAGACCCTTCAATGCCAGCTGAATTTGTCATGGCGTTCATCCGATATCCAAAAAAAGTGGATCCATAGACATTGCCCGGGATTAGGACTACTGAGTCTGAAGAGGCATTGGCAACTCAGCGACGACGACTTGGACGGTGAAAGCCAGCTGGACTGAATCTGCGAATGGACCTTCCATGGATGATGAGTCCTTCCTGCAAGTCTACAAGAGCAAAGTCTCTCGTCAGCTGTTCGCTTTGGCCACTATCCTGCCAGATGTGGGGTGCGGTGAATATCGACCTGGATATTTTAACAATCATGAACAGTGCGGTGAACCAAGCCAGAAGGTGAGGACAGCTTCACTGCTGAGGGGTGGCAGTGTGACGATGGATCAGGACGCAGACATATTGGACCACCTGGCCTCAGCCAATCCTGTGTCTCTATGCATTCCAATGGCATGCGAGGAAGATAAACAGCCAACCAGAGAAGGACATGAATATGGTGCAGCATATAATGAGCGGCGTGGCCAGCGAGGTTGACTCGGGTGGAAGGCACCAGACGTGTGGCTATGGCTTGTGTTTGGTCAATAAAGCCTGTTCAGGTGCACCGATCTTTTTCCTATTAGGGCTCGCGTATTCTACAACACTCAAGAGAGGGAATAGTGCACGATAACGAACAGAACCGACAGAAGTCGAGGCAAGTTGAACTGAAGATGTCTCGTAATACGGTGTTTGTGCACCTGCATTTTAAAAGCAATTATCATTTTGATAATGCACGATTTTGTTATTACGCGACATACGACGACAACGTTTCACTGAATATATACAAATGGCAAAATGACATAACACAGAAACTTGGCAACATAAAGCAAGTTTTTTACATATTAAGATAGGTATAATAAAATTTGGCATAAAAAGTTACCCGACGGAAGGTTAGTTTGCCTGCAAATAGCAAATGCGTCGCAGACATCTTGGATATGGATGATTTCAGGTAATTCTGTGTCTTTTGTCATTTGCAGTGTACCCAACCGGAGACAAACCTGTATAGAAGCTCTAAACAATGCGCGGTGCAGCCATAACGGTGGACTCGGATGGACATATGTGGCTTAATACTTATCTATGCACCCTATTCTGTTGTATAAAACCTTGTAGTGCTAGAATATTCCCCAACATGCACCTAATCGGACGTAGCGATGACGCTGGCCTCAAACTAAACCAATTCACAGTTTTTTTAGATTTAATGTGGATTCTAGAAAGTTAAACAACCCACCAGTGGCAAATATTGTGAAGTTTTCAATTTTAACAGGTGGCGAGAAGAGTTTGATACACTCAGAGGAAGAGTTACACATCGATGTTATTGGAATCGGTTTAAAACTTCATGTTTTTATGTTTAATGAGCAGATTTTTGATATTATTTGTAGTTACATAGACATGAATACTCAATTTGTTGTGGTGGGCATTCAGAGTGGCTAATGAATCAGTGGCCTCACGTGACTGACGGGCAGATCGTGAAAAGGTGGGACGTGTGCTGGAAGCTGCGGGGACTGGGTTATTGGACATGAATCAACACGATACGCTACAGCTCTCCTTACAAATTTATGGACTTTCAATTGTGTGCGATTTTTTTAAAATAGTTAAAAACCATTTCCCATTGTTAAAAATCGACTGCTACAGTCATTTAAAAAGTCGAAACAATCATACTAACACTGCTGGGTTTTACGAATAGCAGGATCAGGGGCTCTTTTTTAATCCGTTAAGAATGTTTAAGAAGAATAGGCTCAATATTGGGTTATTAAAATTAATTATTCTACAAACTAAAAAAGCACATTTTGAAAATCTATTTGTTTAGAATAATATGAAAAAGTAGCAAAAGCTATAGGGAAATATGACGGATATAATTCCTAGCTGAATCTATTGCTGCACCATGTTTCATGGACTTTGCGCATTAGCTTTCTTACGAGTGAAAATATTATGGCAGAGATTTAGAATGACGATCCAATAATGGTTTTTAGAATAAAAAAATCATAAAAAACGTTTGTTTAACATATTTATTAAAAGTGCAAGGTTTGTTTAGACGAGCTATTTATTTAAACTCGATAAGTGGTTCTGAATCCCAATGAACAGAAAAAAGTACGTCAAGCCTAAGCTTGTGCATAATTTTGAACCCATATCAGACAGTCAGGTGGAAGAAAAAGAGTTTGATTCATCTAACTGCAGTGATTTGTATTTTTTGAACTGGTTCGGCACATTGCATCACAAAACCATTGCTGCAAAGAGAAAATCGGGTCGTGGTTCAAAGAGGCTCAAGGCAAATAACCTACGACCACAAAACAATAACCAAGACTTGGGTTGCCCAATTAAAAGAAAGAAGCCAATGGAGGATTTTCACGCATTTTTCTCTGAACCCCTACCGCAACGTACATTACAGGAGGGCACTCCTCTTGAAGAAAAAAATGGAATGGAAGCCCCAAAAGAACAAACGTCCCAACAACAATAACGATAGCTCCTTTGTAATACTTAACACACGTTTTTATCTCTTAAACGACTCCTTTGTCAATTTGCCGGATGGTTAACACTACCCAGACGTCAAGACATAATCTACCACCTTAGATGCACATACCGTTACAACAAAGCATATTTGAGGATAAAATTGAAGGCAATAAAGTAGAGACATGTATTTAATCTGTGAAAAACCTGATATGACGGTTGGTCCTAGGACGTTTTCAAAACAGTTTCTGTATTTTTGGCAGTAAATCCTCGTTGACCACTCTTCATGACAAATGACGGCATACAGCTGAACGATCCACTGGACCTCCCAAAAAGCAACGTTTTGCCCAGCCCCTGAAAGTGGAAATCAGTGTCATAGTTTGAAAGAGCCTGTAGAAGGTAATCTTGATCGAAACTTAACATACGATACGTCACGAAAGACGAGAAGAATGAATGGGACTTAGATAAACTTACCGGTCAAAACTGAAGACCTGCGACCAACTGTCGAGTATCACATCCGCTAGATTTTACGGCATTTGAGTCATCAGTTGAATGCCAAGCAACGGCTACTTAAGTGACGAAAAATAGAGGATGTGAGAATACACATAACCAAAATAAACTATGCAAATATTAAATTTAAAAGTCGAAAGACAATATTAATGGGAATCCATCTAGTGCATGAGTGAAGCACAAATTCATTGCGAAATTTAAAATTAATTTAACATTCGTTTTACCTGGCTAATTCTTAATAAACAACCAAAAACAAACGCCAGAAAATTGAGGTTAGGATGTAACAAATTACCCATAAACCAAAGCAACCTAATGACTTTTGCTAGCTTACCTAGATGTAATAAAGACACACACATGAAATGCGTCATCTTGGATTCAAGAAATCATCAAATTTATCGCTGATTTGCAATTTCGAATCAAACAGCAGATTTCTAGATGTGGTTTTCGCACTAGAGACCACTTCACTATCATCATCATCACCATTCACAGTGCGAGGTCGCTTTGCTGGAGGGAGCGTAGACAGTGGCGATGACCGAGGAAGCGTTGGTGGAAGTGGTGCCGGCAACCCGAACGCCGAATCAAAGACGACGGAGGACTTCTCAAGGACGCTACGACAGCGTCCGGACCCTGGAATTTGGAACCGGTTTTTATTAACTCCGTCGTCACGCGAAGAGAGCTCCGACTTGACCATCTCTGTAAAGGCCTTATTAAGCCCCTCTAGTGTTATGTCGTCCGTCGGTAACACTGGGGGAAAACTAAGGTCATTAGTAATATCGACACGTGGATCCACCATTAGAGTTTTTGATACTAGTCCGCGGAAGAAGCGAACAGGTGGATGTTCTCTGGAAGGCTTTGGAATATTTGGCACTGCACAAGCGAGGGTAACTTCTGACGCCGTCCCTGTAGGACACAAGGCTTGGGTGCTTTGACTCGAAGACGGCGGCAGAATTTCGGACAGTGGACGTGACATATCAAGACTTCGTAGGCCTAGAGCATGGTACATGGCGTGTGTCCGACCTCGTCGATGCATTTCAATCAACCGCAACGAGGAAACCAGGTGCCAAGTGGCCGACGAAGGGCCGAAAGCACCACCCTGAAATTCGTCCCTAATTGATGGAATGTATCGATTCGCTGAGTAGCGCCTCGTAACCGTGTCGAGGTCGTTTCCACACCCGCCACCGACTGATAACAGACTGGGTATTTCACAAGGCGAGCAGCGGAACTCCCTACAAGATAGGTTATTCGTCGTCCAGTTGTCAATAATGGAACGCCGTAGGGGGTCTACTCCACAGTTAATCCGCAACTTGTCAGCTGCAAGAGCGGAGGCTGCGGTTGTTGTAGTCTGTGGATGCCAGTGCACGGGGAGAGGACTAACGCCTAACGGCACCATTCGCGGGTTGTGCGGGTAGAGGGTGAGTTGTCGACCTGACTGGCCTTGCAGCAAGGCATGACTGACTGTGTTCGAGCGGGCCACACTGAGCGCGAAGTTGGACTGCTCACGGCCCTCTGTGAGCAGAACGACCACACGGCCAGCCCGTCGTCGACCGGTCCTACCCAGACGCTGGATCAGGCGTGCCGGCGATTTGTGAGCGTCAAAGCAGACAATCAAGTCAACCTGACCCACGTCTACGCCCTCCTCACCGATACACGTGGAAATCAGAATGTTGACGCGTCCTTCTCGGAAATCCCGCATCACCTGAAGCTGATCGCGCTGGGTATTACGCTTTCGAGAGGCGACCCGGGCAGGCATTCCGGACGCGGCCGCTGAAGGCTGATGGCCGGACGACTGACCTACGAAAACAGCAGGACGCAAAAGCGGTGAGTGGGTTTTCAGCATGTGCATGATGTCGGAAACGGAGTCGCGAAATTGGGTGAAGACTATCGCCCGCGTACCGCGCTGCGATAACACGGCTGCAGATGCCTTCTCAAAGTGCTCCAACAGCACATCGCGCAGCTTGCACAGTTTTGGATGACCTGCAACGAAAGGCAGCTGGCTCATCACTGCTGCCCCCTCAGGGGCACCCAAGACGTTGCCGAGGTCAGAGACAAACTCGCGCATTCCAGAGACCTGAGCCAAATCGCCCGAGGACTCGATGCTGGTTAAGAGGAATTGGTAAACCGGTCGGAGGCCGTACTGCACGAGAAGTTGAATAGCGCGGGCAACACAGGTTGCGATTCGAAAGTCACGATGAACAGCCCCGGCAAGTGGCGAGAAGCGGTTCTCCTGAGCGAAGGTTTCTCGAGCCTTGACGAGTGTGAACTCTGCAAAAGCCTCCGGATCCAATCGATCGGGGTTACCCCGGTACCAGAGCGCGCGACGCTCGCAGAGACGCTGCAGGGGAGGCCGAGCAAGATCACACAGACGCTGTTTGAAAACGGCGAGCTGCGGATCAAGACGCACTACTATTGTCTCGATGTCGCGTTGGTGACAAAATTCGCGAACATCCTCGCTGTCCTCCGTGCGAACCTCGATGTGGGAGATGAGGAGATTGGCAATGACAGCTTGGGCACCGGCGAGGTCAGAAGCAGGTGTCGCAGAGAGGGCAAGAATTCGAAATTGTCTGTGGTTGTACGGTGGACCTGTGATTGCACGCACCACCTGAAGTGCAAGACAACTATGTTAAAATTACCTGTTCCTTTCGCATGAGCAACAGAGTTACTACAACTTATACTTGATGAACAGGAACAAATACCAATAAAGACCTGAATTTACAATACGCAATGAAAAGAAATTTGAACCACTGAATTCAATACAAGAAAAGTAAAGTACAATAAAAATGAGGAAGGAGTTTGACTTACTTGGCAATACGCGTGATTACCCGTGGCTTTGTGGGCCTCATCAATAACTATGCAGCGAATGGATTTGGCAGGGCAGATGGACGCAGCGAGATCGTTGGCTATGACTTGGGGTGTGAGAAAGAAGGCGCGATGCGGACCTGCCCAGAGAGCAGCTCGTTGCTGCGGTGATATTGATCCAGTAAGCTCGACGGCGGACATTCCGCCTGCCTGGGCATCACCAGACGACGACAGACCGGTGAATTCGCGACAGGCCAACATTTGCTGGGAGACAAGTGGCCTAGTTGGAGCCATGAAAACCACCCGTCCAGTCGGATACCAACGCAAAAAGTTGTAGAGCACCACGGCTGCAATAAAGGTCTTGCCTAGGCCAGTTGGAATGCACACTAGGCAGTTCTGGTAGAGGCATCTTTCGGTTATGACAAACTGGTATGTTCGAAGCTCAGCACCTGTAGGATAATACCATTCCTTGCCTGCGGAAAGGTCAAATCCTGGGAGATTTTCCGAATCGTTGGCTGTCGATACGTAGTTGATTGGTGGACGATTAGGAAAGTCAGGGAAGGTCTCACTTACGTGATTTTTGACTTCCCCCTCAACTAACTCTGGTTCGGCGTCAAGAAGTGAAGAGGCATCTAACTTCAAATTGCCTACTCCAGCAAATAAAGCGTCCATTTAGTGCCTAAAAACTATAAAGTATATTCGGAATAAAAAGTACACAAAGTGGAATGCAGAAAAGTAGATTGATATATCAAAAAAATCGTCCTACAAACAATCTGTCATAGTCCGGCTTTAATCTACTAGATGATGGTAAAACACCTTAACTAAATTCAGAAAAAAAGGCAATTTCACTCCTGTGTTATCACTATGTGACCAAATAAATGATGCAGCAAAATCAGTAAATCTGGTTGACCAGGCATAGAAATAAATTTATAACGATTGAGGTTCAGATGGGTATTAAATTTCTGTATCTTGAAGGGCAAATACAGCTTAATGTAAAAAAGGAGGAACAGTATAACAACGATCGCAGATTCTGTCAAAACATATTGAAGTAGAAATTCACTAATTTTCTATCAATATACCACTTTAAACAGGTTACAATAAAATGCAGCTGTGTTTTGGATTAACTCTTTAATTATTCATGCTGAAAAAGCACATTAAGGTGTTCAAAATAAAGAAAGATTACTTTGCATTTATCTGAAAAATTCGCAATAAGGCAAACGTGCCAATGAATTCTTCAAGCAATTACAAATGTTAGCCGAAATTCAAATACAGTAACTTTGTAAAAAGTCATTTAAATAAAAATAGATTTTGCATTTTCATAATGCAACATTAGATTGTGCTAGAAAATTAAGGGTGTAAAATAGATAATTACCAATTTCAGCAGTGATTTCTAAATGGAGTGCTAGATGTAATGAAATGTTTTAAAAATTTAGTTCAATTTAAATTAGCATAAAAAATGTGATTAATTTTAACCACAGGAATGTACAAAATATTTGTTACTATTGAATTATTTGTACATAGGCTCCGGAATACTTACATTTTAATTTAAATGGCTTAAATGTATTACAAATGAATTAGTTCTGACTTTAGTGAGAAAGAGTGTGTTCTAGAATCATTAATATATTACAACTGATTGAAGCAAATCGACAGAACTGCTGATACTGAAGTATCAGAAATTATTTTCAAAAGTGTATTGCTAATTACTGAAAGCGAAGATACAGGGTCTTCAACTATTTCAATGACAGATAAAGATTTGATATTAAACGTTTTTATAAGATCTTCGAAATGCATGCCTATTCCTCTACTGGTAGCTTGAAGGACGGCCTGCAATTGGTCAGCAGTCATTCCAATCTATCGTCCTCAATTGTGTGCCTTATTTTTTACCTGGTGTAATTAATGTTAATTTGCGGGAAACTGTAGTGAAACTTACATTTTGGAAGCATTCATGCATTTTCTGAATGTCTGGTACCTTTTTTTATATCCATGGAGTAATTTTCTTTCAGAAATAACAACCCATTATTTATACGAAAGTTCTGCCCATCGAAGCGTAACGTTCTGTGTCTTCTCCCAGTGTGGGGAGTATTTAGGATTTGTGGAAGATCGTAGGCATGTGATTATATACAAGACGCGGCAGATTCTGTAAGTTCTCTTTATCCACAAATGCTTTCGCTTTATTATTGCATGACTAGTTTTCTTTGCTTTACATATTTGCATATTTTAAATCTTATTGTGTATTCACACTCGTGTTTAAAACCCAGCCATCTCTAAGAAATTTTACACGCTTATTGTGTGCGCAAATGTTAGCTTTGTCACTACACACAGTGGCCATTTTGTGACGCCCGCCGTTATGGTCGCTATCCTGTTGCATTTTTGACAGTTTCATTCAATTTGTATTTGTCCCAAGGACTGTTTAGTAATTGTGTCTTGGGTAGATCCAGAAAATGACTACGTTAATACTTATTTTCTATAGCTTGCTAATATCTGGCCTGTGTTATCATATGCTATCTTTCCAATAAAAGTCTTGTCTGTTTTCCCTCTTTAGAAAGTTTATCAACCACGGACAAGTAAACGGCGTCGGCCGCGTTGTCGGTGAACATCGCTGGAGAATTAATGGTCAGCCCATAGACATCTCGCCGGTTTTGTCAATTGAATCTACCGCTGGAGTTGGAGTGAATTACATTGTTTTCGGCGATGGCGACATCAATAACTGTCGTCTTCCACACCGACTGGCTAAGCGTTGCTCAATTGTTACGAAGTTCCCCGACAAGGTGTGCGTCATAGCTGTAGCCAAATCGAATGGCTACATTGATGTGTACAATCTAAATCTGCTCAAGGAAAATTACTCTCCCAGTATGTTCTTTTGTCTTAATTTCTTTTAACTTGATTTACACGCTATGGTATGCTCCATTATTTGCCCATATTTCGCTAACACATTTCACGTTGTCTTCGCCGTAGTTGCGCTAAGAAAATTTTTCACAATTCTGAGCTATAGTGTTGCTCAGCATAGTTTTGGTTGCTGATTACTTGAGTAATCACGTATGCCAAATTGGGTATTAATTATTCATACACCTCATTTTGGGTGTTCCCAATTGGTCGGAAACTTTTTTCCTTACGAAAATATCTTCCTGTTTTAAAGCGGAACTTGTTGTCTTATGTACATGCGCATATCGAGCTAAATCGTTAGACAAATGCAAATTTGATCTGTTTTACTTAAACCTCTTAATAGATGCTCTAGTAATCGTTGCAAGGCAGTACTTTCGTTCACATCCGAGTCCAGAACTCTTCGTTTTCTGTGAAACCACATTGCGCGTACTTTGGTAGACGTTGATGACTAAAATTAGCAATCGATATAAGATGCGGCACGACTACATCCACCGTGTCTCTGGCTCTAACCACCGTGTCTCCATGTTTTCGAAGAATTCAGTCAAGTTGCTCACGTTGGTGTCTTGGCCTTGCGACGAGCAGTCACTCCGAGTGTCACCGTTTCATGTTGTTCCTCGTTGCTGAGCGATCAGAGACTAAGACGAGTCATAGCTAACCTGTATGATTAACTACCTCGTTTGCCAGTGGATGCAGTTGCCCAGTCGATGTCATCGAATATCATGTTCCATAATAACGACATCACACAATTGATACCTCAGATGTATTGGCCATCTCACCGCCCAATCAAATCAGTTCGTAAACTTCGGAAGGAGGAGGCACAGCAGTAGTCGCTTTGTGGAGGTGTGCGGTCGACCTGGCAACGGTATTTGGTTAAGCGAGCACTCAGAAAGCCACACCAGTCCACCCCTCGTTCACTCTTCGTGCGTAGTGGTCACCACCGAAGATGCTTTTCGGCCAAACGCCGCCACCACGTCTACATCAACTAGATCCCATGTGCGTTATGCCTCCTGCACCATCTGATGCACTCTCCACCAATCATGAGAGCCCACGGCAAAATCATCCGCTGGTTTTCGTCACCTGAGTCAATGCGAATCTCCACGAGTCAGTCGGCTAATTTGAGCGCTTTAAATACTTATGCGAGTGCGTCATGTTCGATGCTGAAGAGAATACGGTCGCCTTCGGGAAATTTATGAACAAGCATTTGCGTCGAATTCTTCTCCCAGCAATTATTGATTTGCCCTACTCCGTCGTCCTCTAATCATGTAACCCTCAGTATTTATGCTGCGCCAAATTTGGGTTATCCCGCGCTATAATGCAATGGATGCTTCGTTCCGATAATCCGTTGCCTTATGAACACTTCCGCGTCTATTGAGGTCATAAATCCCACGAAACGTGTTCCTCCAATCAATTGATGCTCGCTGTGTGATTTCATCAGGTTGGTAGGGTGTGTGGACACACTTGCTCGCCCGCAACCAGTCAATCCGAACTACTGCGGACGCTTTATGTATTGAAAGGGATGTGATGCACCCAGCTGGAATTAGGCTTATTTTCGACTTCATTTTGCTGGTATTAAGGCAGCCTCAAACCCACGTGATTCTCTAGGCCTCGAAACAAACGATTATCCGAAGTTGCAAAGCCCTGAAGTACATGGCGGCTGATGCAATGTCTCCAAGTCAATCTCTTCAGGCAGAATTTCGGCTTGTCGAGCTGTGTAAAAGATGCTTGATTGTTATCCAATATTTCGCAATAGATTGCTACTTCAATGTCCCACCAAACCAAACACTCTTGTTTAGATGATTGCTGGGCTGGTTTGCTTCCACGACAGCTCCAAGGTCTGCGACCTTCACCATTGTGTTGGAAGATCCAGTTTTTGTCACCATCATCTAGAGTTTTTGAAGAAGCAATACCAGATTCTCTCAGGAGACATTTCATGGGAGAAACACACTTTCTAACCCTTGTCAGTTAGCATTCAGCGACTGTATGAACTAAATTCCACCTATTCTGCACACTTTCCAGGTCCTGTGGTTTGATTTCCAGCAACCTCAGCTTTGTGCGACCTTCACACCGAAATCTTCACAAAAATTTCGCTATCGATGCCAAATTGCCGCGTGGTTTGGCGTTCAGTAGCGTGTGTGTGTGTGTCCTAATGTGGCCAAAATCACCGCGGCTAAATTTGGCACATTTATGCGTCCATAACGACGTGTTTTACGCGGCACCGCGATTGACCAATCACTAATAGGGCTTGACCGCTAAGTGACCTTGACACTTCGCATGTCACCAATCACATGTCACGGATGCCTCCATGATGCCTTGCCATGACGGAACCACGACGGTGTAAGGGAGTGTAGATGGCGCCTCAATCGATCTGCAACCACCGTCCACACAAGGCGTCACGTGATTGTTTCCAGAGGGGGGTGTCGACGTGGACAAACACCTAGTGTCCGCATTGGCGGCCATTTCTGGATGTAATTAACCGCCTTGTGCCTCACCAGAGCTCGATTAAGCCATGTTTAAAGTTTACTGCTTTTCGTTTTGGCCGCATCACGCCACACCCAAACCAACGACTGTCGTGTTGTGTCCGTTCTTCAGACGAGGAAACAAATTCGCTGGATATCAGAATTTTCAGTGTCTAACAGGCGGCCCCTGCACTCCTGTTTACATTTTCTGTCATGCACGGGGCATCCGATTTCGGTATGAGGTCAATTTAGCGCCGACGCTCAACAACTGTTTACGGTGGCCACCCAATAAACTATACTAACTACTTAAAACAGATAGTAGTCTGTCAAATACACACTCAAAATTGAGCCGAGTTAAGTTAAACCCTTTCGACAAACCCAAATAAATTCACAGTTTCTCTCTACCAAATGCGGGCACATTTAACCAGTCTTCATGTTTGTGGTTTTGACGCTCTTAGTGGTGTTATGCAGGCGGCAGTGTGTACCACGACTCGTGTTTTCGCATCACATGCAGTTTTCAAGAATACAACGCTAACTGCTATGAGACTAGATATCGATTTCCTCACGAAAAAATCCATTTTCTATCGATTATTTGCCCTACTAAGTGTGCAAATTCGAAATCGGCGCCCAGGAAATGAATGGAAACAGCAAAACAAGTTGGCATCGCTTGCAAAGACGGAGATCACGCGATAAAATACCAATTGCTGTTCTGTAATGAGGGTTATGTGCTAACTGGGCAGTATTCCTGTCAATTTGTAATAACCTGATAGTATCAAATATCACGTATTTACCGTCTAGTTAATGCTTTTTTGGCATGTAAATCAGGCCACACCGTTTTACTGAGTCTTTACTGCGCTTTTTGTAGCTTTGGCTAAAATGGTACTTGTCGACGGGAGCCAGCCAATAGTGCATCTGTCCATGTCGACCAATGGCGCTCTTTGTCTCGCCTCGACCAGTTGCCAGGGCGTTGTCAAGCTCTGGGACATCTGGGACGACGGGAACATGTACGCGACGCTCACCTCACCCATGTTCCAACGGTCCCTTGTCAACGTCCCCTTCGTGGATGTAAGCATCTCCCATTTCCGATCTTTACTTTGTGTCTGTTAAGGTGGCGGCTTCACAGTCTCTAGTCCAATCCGCGTCGAGCACACGGGTGTCGTTTTCCCCTCGAAATTCAATCAATCGTCAGCAGTTGAGTTCGAACTGGGCGTCGTGGGTCGTCTTATTTCATCTCCATCAACTTAGCCTTAGGGTCGTTTCAACGTCGTGTTCATCCGTTTTTGACATGCCAGTGTGTGTGTGTGTGTGTGTGTGTGTGTGTGTGTGTGTGTGTGGATTGGCTGAAATGCCTGTTGTGATAAGCATACAATTTTCTCTACTAATGTGTAATATTGTTCGGATTTGAGGGTGGCAATTGCGTGCACCTCCTCATGTTTGATTGCCATTATGATCTTTCCGAAGGAAATTTAATTTCAAAGTGTAATTAACAGAGCTAGCCGTACTATTTGCTCACAAATGTCAAATCGATTAATCATAGCCAATTATTTCGTCCGGTTGGTTTAACCTCCACTCGTGGCCGACGCGTCATCGTAACCGCCGTGACTCCAGTTAACATCGGTGTCAAATGACACGACCTATGCTAATACGAATCAGGTGAAACGACAAAAAACCGCGTTACCATGGTGATGGTGGGAATGCACATATGTTATTGCGAGTCAGCTGATCCACGTACGTCAAGTTATTGTCAATCTATTTTGTTTGTTTTTTTTTACTTTGCAAGCCATCGGAACAGGCTGCAGTTCCTTACAATTACGAGGTCTCCGTCACCGCGTGGCATCCCATCGAAAAGCACCTCTTCATGGGCGACCAACACGGCCACGGATTGGTTGTGGAGGTAGCCTCTTGGCATTGCTTATTCCACCTCGTGCGTGTTTGTTTGTCGTCTGTGTGTGTGTGTGTGTTCGACTTGCGGTGTGAATCTGCTACTCACAGTCTACACACCGCCTCAAAACCACCACTCGCGTCTCTTCTGGAAGCGGGTGGTTCTGTTGCATGCTTGATTGATTGATTGATCGACTGCTTACTGCTGATGCCTTTAGGTCTGCTTCAACACCAAATCCTCTTTGAAAGATGCTGCATGCAGAGACATGGAGCATCGCTTCTCAGTGGCGTGATTTTGAAGATGGTATGCGTCGATTATGCTGGTTATGCCCCCTTTTTTCCTTCAACTACCCATTTGCTAGGCCGAACGCTACTACCGTCGGCTCCATGAGATTCGGCATCACCACATGATCTCCGGTGCCGCCTACAGCCGCGACGGCGCCCTCCTCCTCACTGCCTCCTTCGATGGAAGATGCGCTGTTTGGGCTGTGCCCTCGTACACCTGTCTCCACCTCTACTGGTGCGTTGTGCTCCTATTGGTTCGTTTTCAAATAATTCGAGCATACTCTCTTCCCATTGGTTCGTTTTCAAAAGTGGGGCCTAACTCCTATTGGTTTGATTTCAAGCGTGGGCCGTAACTCGAGCATTCTGTCCTCCCGTTGGTTCGTTTTCAGACGTGTTCGAGGGACTTATGGCTTCGAGAGTGGCCTTCACTGAAGCGCGTGCTAGCGGTCCATTCACGATCCACTTCTAGGTCGCACCCCAAGGTCAATGGCTCAGCTTCCCGGCATTGGTTGTGTCCCGTCGAAAGGTCACCTTTCCTACGAGAACAAGTGCGTTCGAATGTTGAAGGTCAACGGTGTTAATGATCGACTTATTGATCAGGTGGCCCCTGATCTCTACATCGCGTACATTTAGCTCATTCGCGTTTTTTTTATTATAAAAAACCACTTTCAAGGTGTTTGTCGAACTGTGTGCTTGGCGTCACCTACAACTGATTGAAATGTGTTTTGAAGTTGTTCGATTCATTATAAACGACGTGTTTCTGCAAATCTGCATGCCCTCATTACGATAAATCTGGAAGAATTGCGCCTGTAAACACACGCACACAAACACACCATCTGCTTGTAAACAATCGGCACTGACCCCAGTCACGTGCGTTGACACGTTGCAAGTTGCTTGAATTTTACGCTTATCCAGGGTATAGGCGGTTTATGTGGTCAAAAGTTTAACAAATTTTTCGAAAGGGGCAACACGCTGAACACCATAGCCTTGTTGCGGGCCCCGGAATGTGGTTCAAGGCCACGGAATTAACTCTGCCTAGATCACGCTTCCCTGATACCCACGATGAAGAAAAAGACGAGAGAGGACGTGGACACAACCGTTTGCTTCAGAGCTCAACCAAGTTGGTGTCGTGTGTGGGGTTTGTGCGTGTGTATTTATACCTCAGGTGTGAGTCATACATGCGCTTGCATCTAGACCTAGGTGTGAGGATAATCCAAGATAAATATTCGTGCGAATGAGGGGGAGTTGAGGATCCGCGCGGCTGTCGACATGCTGCGAAAAGGGGTACCCTGTGTCGGAGGTGGAGCGACCAGAATAAACACGTTCTCACAACAGCCTCTTGCTTCGAAGACCTTGTGGTCTCATCATCTCGCCGCAGCCACCAAACCACTCTGCGTCGTCGTCTGAGTTGGCTTGCGAGTTTCAAGTGTCCTCGATAATATGCGTGTGCGTGTGTTTTACACGTTTTGGAGATTTAAAATTAAAAAAAATTGACAATGGTGGCTTTGATCCAGCTTGAAAAGACACACTTGAATCCGATCTCGAAGTTGACGATTCAAGAAGAAGAAGAAGAGTAGAAGTTTACCCACATCATCCACAAATTGTCAGAGGAGGTGTCGAGCGAATTCGATTTTTCAATCAGCCTCGCCGAAAGTTGGTTTTCGCGCAAATCATGTCATCATCTCTGGAATTATCCGCTGCGAGATCTCACAGCCCCATTGAAACTGCTGTAGGCCGTAATGCGCCACATCCATCAACACTTGGCACACACTGCCATGCCTTCGTGAGTGACTTGTGAGATCACACGACAACTCGGGACATCTGAAAAACGGCTGTTTCGACGCCATCTCCTCTAAGATGCGGTATACCGTGGCGTGCCTGCGAGTCCCACATCCGGGCCTCCAACAGAACCACGACTGCATAGTACCAGGGTCATTTTAGAAGGAGTCTTGTCCATGATGCTGTCCAGAATTCCCTTTGTCGAAGTCTCGGATTAGATGACATCTAGTGAGAGAATTCCACGATAACATTGGGGTCCGATAAAATCGATAAGAAGAAATCCAATAATCTTAAACTTGAAGTGAGCCAGGAGGACAGATTTTGTCTGCGAAACCTTGATCTCGTGACCTCGAAATCGTCCACGCACTAGATTGGTTTTAGAGAAAAGCCAAATGGAACGGACGAATGCTGGCCAAGTTGGTAGTGAGTTGATCAGCTTGGGTACACCGTCGTAGTTCCCCAAGGAAATTACGCTGATTCGATTGTATGTGTGCTCGCTCAGCCAATCACCAGACCTTGCTTAAGCGGCAATATTGAAATTTCGAAAATTGCGCCGTTCAGTGGCACTTGAACGAGAACTGAAAAGGTTTATCGATTGATTGTTGTTTTGGCTCTTATTCTTTTTTGTTGGGATGGGGATCAGGCTATTGTAGAACCAAGCATGGTCTGATCTACGGTAATACTACTAAAATTTATAAGTAACATCGGTGTCCCTCTGCAGTCTCTCTAATGCCTCGCTAAAATTCGCTGTTTTGACGGACTTGGCGCAAGTTGGCTCCGTGCGAGCGAGAGGTACAAGACGGCAGCTTTCGATGGAACCTCGCTGGCTCGCTCGCCTGTTCGCACCGTGTACTCGTCGACATGACGTCGGCATTGGTTACCGTGGTTGCATGCACGCACCCACGCACGCGCGTTCACGAAGGGTAGGCGCACGCGCGCACCGGGTCGTGCGGCCTCGCGCGCACGCACCGCCGCACTGTGCGCGTGGCACGATTCCCAGCTGGCCTCTGATTGGCCAACTCACCTCGGCTTCAATACGCTCCCGTTGCAAAAATCGATTTTAACGCAAACTACCTGCGAGTTTTACGACCTAATTAGCGGTGTATTATGTAGAAAGAATTTGAATTCAGAAATACCGCGGTTGTGGTTGTGATTTCTTCCGCTTAAGCTGCCCGCGACGCGCAAAATGCGAATTCGTCAGACCCACTTTTGTCCATCACCTTGGTTAAATAAATTTTCGTTTCCTAGTTTAGGGACATGTTCCCTGTGCGATGTTTCCGGAGAACATTGTTGTGGTTTTAAGGCCTCGTAATACCGTTTGTTTCTGTATCTAGCCAATGAGGCTTCATCCCAAACCGCGAATTGTGTCTAAAATGAGATCTGCTGATTAAGAGGGTTCTGCGGTATCACCCAATTTAACCCCAACGCACCTCACATAGTTCTTCGCGAGTCCAACAAAGTTCGTCCACTTTTCTCACGAAAAAGATTAGAACCAGGCTTAGTTGCTAAAAACTTGCCGAAGAAGTTTCCTGCGAGGCCTCTCTTGCATTTCAGCATCGAAAAGTTTAATTCACCTCTTCAATTCGAATTAAAACGACGCAAAAGGTGGTTAAATAGTCATCTTAAAAGGACGGGATCAATCGCTGTTTTAGAAGTTGACGCAGCCGCTGTTGGTGCCGAGGGAAAGCCTCCCGTTAGTTTCTCAGATGGTGTGGAATTTTCGTTTTGGTGCTTCGACAAAGTACACGTGTCCCCTCACCAAATGTTTGCCGGCTGGCGCACCAGGGGTCCCTTCTGTGTCGCCCAGGCTGTTTAAGAAGACACGCTGCCCTCAGGGAGGTGTTGGGTGCTTGTTGAAATCTCTTATCCTCCTCCTTCTGATTGCGATCAGTGTTGTTAACCTGTCCTCGTGCATATTCGTTGCTAGGCACATGGACGCGAAGCGTAGCGTGCGTCTTCTTGGAGGTGCCAACGACTTCCACGTCACGTCCCTCGCCCTCGCTCCGGACTCCGAGACCTTCGCAACGTGCTGTGAGGATGGGTAAGCAGCCAGCACTGGACGGTTTTGTTGTGGTGATCAGTCAGTCGATTAGGCTCACTTATTAGCGCCACGGTCATGTTGAGACCTCGTGTCCATGTGAAGCTAACGGTGCGTTTGTCCTCTTTCTTTCTTTTCAAAAGCAAACTCCGCCTATGGCCCTTGTCCCCCTCACTGGAGCCCCGAGTCCTCTGCCACGTCGAACTGGACCGAAGTTCGCTACACAGGCGGTTGCTCGTCTTCAGTCCCTGTGGCCAACTTCTCGCGTGCTCGTAAGTCAACTGACGCGGATCCCGCTCTGAAAGACTGTATTCCGACGTAAACGTACAAGCCGTTAGGTGAAATAATTCTTCAAGGCACATGATCAGGCCTATGTAACACCGATTAATGGGTGCCAAACTGAGGCCAAGCGATAATCTTGTGTTAATGTTGTTGAAGCATTATGCACCCTTCACACGCTAGCTCCTTTTTCTTCTAGTTTCGGTGATTCGCGGCTCTGGCTGTTTGCGCAACCGACCAGGCCAATGAGCCTCCTCTCGCTTTGCGTGTCTGTCATCCGACAGCGCGTCGTCAAGACGGTCTTGGCCCCGCCGCCTCCCACCAGACAATCGAAGCCCTCCCCACACGTGATCTCAGCCCTCTCCTCCCTGCCTCTGCCCCGCGAACTGCTCTCCCTTCTGTGTTACGGTTTGTGGCCTGGATGCACCCAGCCCCCGGACCTATGACTCAGCCTACAACCCGTCCAAGTGCCCACGCTGAATAGGATCATGTTTTAACATAACTCAATCTCGGTTCTCGCACTTTGTTGAGCTTTATAATGCCAAATTTGCTTGATTATTTTTTCCTAAAACAGTCTTTTAATCCCTTGAGAACGACGCTGATCAAATTAGCTGGGCTAGTTGCCTCATTGAGTACTTAAATAGTCTTAAGAGGTGATGCAGATTGCGGCCTCCACGCACCAGCTTCCCCCTTATCTCCAGTAACCACAAAAATCGGCACTCCATCACACCACAGCTTCGCGGAATCGAAACTAACAAGCACAAAACGAACCCCACTGCCTAACAAAGAATGCAACAAACACAGAAACTGGGATGGGGCAAATGGTGTATTGTACAAGAGAAAACACGGTATATGATCACAATTCACATAAAACGATCACTGGTCTTTCGATTTCTGAGACCAGTCGGTGATGTGGGTAAAACCTTGACCGGATTCGTATTGTTGCCACATGCGTCCGTAGAGGGCTTCCAAATCGGCGGTGTAGCTGCGACAGTTGAATAGCGGTGAGGTCTCTCTCAGCTTCCAAACCTACGCAGAACAAAGCATTAAGACAAGCAAATAATAGTTATTACCTTAGCTCGGATTGCATTAAGGTAGTCACGATTGTTGCCCAGCCTCGACGCGATCCTCACATAATCATCGTTGGACTTGGCAACAAGTTCTGGACAGCCTAGACAGTGCAACTGACTGGCCGCTACTCTGCTGGCCAGTGTTTCAAGCGGAAGAGTGACTACAGGGCAGCCTGCCCAAAGAACATCCATGCCCGTGGTGTGGCCATTGCAAAGAGGCGTATCAAGACACACATCAGCCACAAGTCCGCGACGCACGTGCTCCTCCTTTGGAGCGACGTTGCTAAATATGATACGATGGTGCGGACTCTGAAGACCAAGCTCTGCGGCAGCTGCCATCACATTGCCTTCACCAGCCGCTGGGAAACGCAGGAGCCAAAGCACGGAATTGGGGACATTTTTCAAGATATCGGTCCACATCTTCATAGTTTGTGGGTCAATTTTGTAGAGCTGGTTAAAATTGCAGAAAACCACGGCGTCTTCGGGGAGACCGTAGTGCTGTCGAGAGGTGATGATGATATTGACGGGGATTTCTTCTCCTGCCGAGGCACGCGACTGGGTTTGCTGTGTTGTGAAACCGTTTTGAACCACAGCATTGCCGAGGGAGCACGATGCCGCGTTGATTCTAATCATATCTCTAACCATCTGCAACGAGGGCACAGTGAGAATCTGCACCTTGATGAAATACGTAACTTCCTTCACTGTGGATCCACTTTGTTCGGTTACTCGGCCGCCGTAAATCATTTCTCTTAGCGTCCCAGCGGAAAGGAGTGACTTCAAGTCCGTTCCACAAGCAACCATGCAATTATCAGTAGTCCGCCGACCGCCTGCAACTTCTTCCGAGCTCTCAATGATGAGACGATTACGCAGGTGTGGGAACATCTGAGCGTGGTCGCCAACGAAAAAGGTCTTTGGCATGTATGCCAACTTCTCAGAATACTGGTCAGCCAAATGTAATGGTGAGGTGACACCATCGGTTATGATGAAGTCCATAAACGACGATCCACTGGTGCCAGGATAGCCGAGCCACATCGCCTGTATTGGAGCCGGTTTGAGAGCAAAGAGCTCATTTCGAGCGCCCTTGGTGTAACCGTTCATATTAAGGAGAATGTGAATGCCGTCGGCGGCAATTTTCTCCGCGGCTTTGCCGTGACACGCGATATTGCTGAGATCAACAAAATGCTCGGCTTCACGATTGACTTTAGCCCTAAAAGTAGTTCCGTCATCAGGGGACAAGGAGTAACAGAATATCTCGAATCTTGATCGATCATGAAAACCAGGGATACTCTGCATCAGATGGCTCGTAGGGTGGTTGCAGAAGTCAGAACTCACGTAACCAATGCGGAGACGCTGATTGGGCTGTCGTTTGGCAAATCGAAATGGTGGGTGGTGCAGTAGGGCAACTTTTTCCAAGCACAAAGAAGCATGTTTACCTGCTACACGCTTCCTTTGTGTATGGCTAAGAGGATAAAGCATTGAGTGATGAGGATGGACAGAGGGCAACCGGTTGGAGTCCAACTGTTCCTGAACTATGCACACAAGCTTCCTCATTCTTTCACTGTAATCGCTCCAGTCACAAACTATCTGCATGCAGTGCGCCAGGTTACAAAAGGCATCCGGGAAGTTTGGCTTCAGTTTGAGTGCCGTCTTGTACGAGTTGATGGCATCGGCCAAATTTCCACTGTCTTTCAGAATGCTGGCCAAATTTGAGTGTGCGTCCGCAAACGCAGGGTTAATCTGGATGGCACGCTGGTAGCACTGCATAGCCCCAGATACATCTTGTAGCTCTTTCAGGGTGTTACCCATGTTAGAATAGGCATCAGCAAAGGTGGGTGAAATCCTGATGGCTTCGCGATAGTGCCGAAGGGCCTCCTGCAACTTTCCCTGCAACTGCAGCATACTGGCCAAGTTGGAATGAGCTACTGCAAATTCTGGGTAAATGTCAAGGGCCCTTAAATAGAGACGAATCGCCTCCTCTGCACGACCTTGTTCACGCTTGATGTTGGCTAGATTATTGAGAGAATCTGCATGCGAAGGGCACAGACTGAGTGCTGTATTGTAGTAATCCTCAGCCTCAGATACTTTCCCCTTTTCTTTCAAGGCGTTTGCAAGATTGCAATACGCATCTGGAAAATTTGGCTGAAGCTCGATAGCCCTTTTATAGGTGTCAATAGCTAGATCAATTAAGTTCTGCTCATAGTAAACACAAGCCAGATTCCCATGGACAACAGCGTGATTAGGCGCCAAGGTAAGGGCTCGAAGGTATGCCGCGACTGCTCGATCAAATATTCGCGCTTCTTTGAGAACATTTCCTAAGTTGATATATGCGTCTAAAAATGTCGGGTCCAACGTTACAGCCTAAGCGAAAAAGTTAGTTGGGATAAATAGATTACTTTTTCGAAGTGATGAATAGCAAGCCAGATTTCGTTTTGTGCGTTAAAAACGCAACCAAGGTTACTCCACGCTACGGCAAATGTTGGACAGGTTTCGATGGCTTTGAGGTAGCACGACTAAAAAACAGAAAATGGAAACTAGGAATACACCATCGGTTTTCTAGTGGGCACGTTGTTGCATGCCCAGATCCGCTACCGAGCGCAGGTATGTGGACTTCATGGTTCCAGAAAGGAACATGCACATGAAGACGCACGCACTGTGAAATGGACAAGAGTATCGCGCTTAGGCGTAAGCGGATACGCGCGCGGCAAACTCACAACTTTTATACGTCAAAGCTCCCGGATCTGCCTCACCGTGTGGATGCTCACCCTTGCTGTTTAAACGGAGAAAATCTGACGAATTAGATCGGATCTACAAATGCGATGCTAAATGCTTAATGCTTGACTGAACATATAAAAGCGCGCTGGCACGTAGGCCGCAGGTCGTTCAGTCAAGCGCGAATGCCGCAGCGCTGACCCCAGAGGGTCGAGTCTTACTTTAGCTTCATCTAGCCGCCCAAGAGCCTTGAGAAGATTGCCGAGATCGCTCCGGACACAATACAAATCCTTAAAAAGAGAATGAAACCATGGCTTTTTCTTACCGGATTGTATTGAAGGGCTGTCGCGTAGGCACTAACAGCGGACTCTGTGTCACCGATAGCTACCAAGGCTGCAGCCAAGTTTATGTAGCCATCAATAAAATCAGGCTTAATGCTCAGTGCGTGTCGGTAATTATCAATGGCTTCTTTCAGCTGACCGCGCTCTTTGAATACGTTGCCGAGATTCGAGTATGCTTCCGCCATCAATGGGTTCTGTTTTATAGCCATTTGACTAAAGTACGCGGACTTGTCCATGCGACGACACTGGAAGTGAATTGAACTCAACAACAAAAGAGTAGAAGTGTTCTCCGGGTCCTGGTGCCACAATTGCATGCAATGATGTTCCGCTCTTTCGTAGTCACCAGCTTGATATTCTCGATGAGCAAGGTCTGCCAAAGCTGATAAGGCAGCGCGATCATGGGGAATCATCGCTCGGACAGCTGACGTATCGCCAAGATGGATAATTGACTGTCTCTCCAACATCGGGACTGGTTTTATGAAAACTATGAAATGACACCGAAATCACTTTAGTCCATTCAAACAAACGTGAAATACCATAAAGTAACTACAATCTTTACAACCGTTAAAGGCGATATATAGATTAAATTAGCACATTGTTTTTTCGCAGGTAAATACTGCGCGTTGTTTAAACGATAAGCTGTCGATTGTATGGTGACAACCATCCTACAAAATATCAAAATTTACATCTGCACTCAAAATAGCGATCCAAATCTATTACTTTCTTAAGTTTAACTTACGTTATTATTGATATTTACTAAAGATAATATGACACATTGTAGTTCCAACATTTGTTTCTAAATAAATTTTGAGGTATGTGAAAACTGTCCCCTTTTTTGTGGCTCACTTTGTCTGAAATACATGCTTGCACTTTATGGTTGCATTTGGCATGCAGATGATGTGCGGTACTTTTTTTAGTACTTTTGATATTGTTTTCAAAATTATTTCGGGTTCTTGCGATATTAGATCGCAGTTAGTGTTGGTCTGTTATATCCTTTTTCCTTAAAAGAAAATGCAGTTTTTTGTTTTTGTGCACAAAAGGAATGAACTTAATAAAAGGGTATTTAGTATAGCATCGTGCTACTAGACAGTACATTCCGCTTCATTGTCACTAATCCTTCTGCTAATGTAATGGACTCGTGAGTGTGAACCAAATTACCCGTCGACTCATAGTTAACATTTTTCCTAAAAATGCCTTCAGTGCAGTTTAAAAAACGCCAGGTTGCGCATACGTACGCTTAATGTTTGTTAAATGTAAATTTGCAATATTCCAAGTTCTGGACGTAGACGAATTATTCCAAGTGTAGCAGTAGATATATTGTCCTATTTCAAAACAAAGTTGTACCAAAAGCGATGTAGAATGCAATATTTTTCATCTGCATACCTAAGCTTGGCAGACATTTCATAAAATTTGCCAAGAAAACACGTATGAAGCATCTTTGCATAAAATTTTTTCAGATTATTCATGCAACCACTTTCTGCAGAAATCGCTATTTCCCATTTAGTGTGCGAGAGAAAAATGGGCAGTTAATAGTCAGGCAGAGCCGAAAATGCATTAAATGCAAAATCTAGTTCTGCAAATTTAAAACTTTTGTAATGTGCCTACGCGGATTCTAGCAAGGTCACGTAATATTCATGAACTTTCGTTAGAATTGGTTTAAGTTGATTTCAGTCTGCTCACCGCATGAGCAGGCCATGAATGAAATTACGAGCAATATCGAGTTTATCCCTTTTTAGATTAAAAGCATTACAGTTTACTAAGTCAACTACCCCAACCGCTAAAATGCTTGGTATTTTGACTGTCATTAAACGTTAACACTTTCGAGAGGTAATATCTATCGCGAAATGCGGGCCTACCGAAGCACGAGTCGAAATGTAAGTTGGTTACGTGGTTTAAGCTAGTCCTTTGACAAAAGTCACATATAAAAACACTAAAGCGTGCTAAAAATTAACTCAATTCGACGGAACATAAAACCACGACTCCTGTAATTGCCTTTTGTCTTAAGCATGTTCCCTAGATAACTAGCATTGTAGTAGAACATAGCATTCCTTTGAAAATTTGCCCTTGATTAATTTGCCGTCAATGTGCAAAATGCACAAATACTCGCTCTATCAGCTTTCAGCCACAGTGCACTAAGTGATCAGCCTTAAATAAAAAATCAAAATTTGAATTTGTCGGAGCCACTTACATAGTATGTACACTAAAGACGCTTTCGATTTTAAAATCACTAGTTTACTTAAGCCCCAAATCTTGTTAAAGGCTTGCGCTTTGATATCCCGGAAAAAGTTGGTATTCACGAAGTCTATATTAGGCAAAAAAAATTTAGATTTTGGTTCAAAATGGTCTTCGATATCATAAGTCATTTGTAGTACAATTCCATTTCACCTTTAACATTCTGCAAGTTCCTGTATTGTCTTTCTTAACACATTAATACATCCTTTCAATAAAAATTTTGTTGTTGATTCAATAAGGAACTAAAAGCAAAGTCATATAATGCTTAAGTCTTGATGGTCAAGGACGACCTAGAAAGATTCAATTATTTCGGGGCTATTTTAATTGCTTCGTTTGTATAACTGCCATGTCGAAGTAAATATTTGCCGTTAAGATCAGCACTTTACGATTTCAACTTTGCCATCGTAATATTCTTTATAAATGACTTCATTCAGAGAAATTCAGTAAAAGAGTGTGCCAGAAATGGCATGTATGAGTCCTGCACAAATTTAGTGCTTGAATGTCCATTGATAGGATAAATTTATTGAAAATAAGTGTGGAGGTCAACTCAAACAAGAACTGGCAAAAAGATTTGGCACTTTCCAAATTAAATTTCATAAGTGTTAAATGTTGAAATTGTTTCTGAACATAGATTTTAGTTTACAAAAAATCGAAATCTCGTATTTCGCTAGTTTTGTAAAAGGGTCAATTTTGTTAATTGAACATTTACTACTCATGGCTTTCAGATGTTGCTGTCTAAATTTTCACGTAGTCTTATCGTAGAACAGGAATATGATCACAGTTAACATTTAAAATCCATAATTAGTCTAAATGGAGAGATGGTCAGTAAAATAAATGGGGTTGATTTGATTATTGACTATTATGATTATTATTATTATTGAATTGATTATCAAATGACATCGGTCGGGTGAGGATGTTTTGGTTAGCTTACTGCGTAATGCCCTCAGGATTGAAAAACGCTTGAACTGATTTCGCGAAATCGGCAATCTTTTCTGTCATTGTCGTTTTTTATTGCACAAAATAATATGTTAGTAGTAAAATAAACGTTTACAGAGTCTTTTAAATTGGGAAGATATTTTTTTAGCACAACAGTGAACGCAAAGTGTTCCGAAATTCAAAAGCCAGTTAAAAGAAGATTATTTCGTGTGACAGTCTACGGAATTGAAAAAATCGAATGAAATTTTTCAATTTTCCTAGTTGATCATTTGAATCGGTGGTTTTTAAATACGCAACATGGCAATGCGTGCCCCAATTGTCTCTTGACTTAACTTATTCTTATTTTCGACATTTACGGCTAAAATGCTTCTAAATTTGTGAAATAAGCTAACATTTGCATCTCAGAGGCATGAAAAAATTAACAATCATGAGTATGAAGTGATAAATAACAACCGGGAATACACAATTTAGTTTAATAATGATTTGTTGTATATGAAATATTTAATCGACAAACGGCCAGGACCCTCCCTGGAATACTACATAACATAAGGAAACAGTTTTCTGCGCTATACGTCTTTGTCTGTGAGCTACTCCACTCGTAATCTCTTGACACAAAATTGCTACACAAATAGGACGCAAATCCAATAATCTCTTTTTCAAATTGAATTTTAGCAACGTGTGCCCATTGAAGACAAATTCTTTGTTTTATCTTTGTTATTTTGACTAGTGTTGTTAAATAAACGGCTATCGGAACCCACTTTTCAAATATTACCGATTACAATGGTTTTTCGATGATTTTCGACACAATCGATTAATCACACCTGGCTTGTGACTTGTGCAGCGTAGCCCACCTAATCACATGTAGAATACCCGAGCCCTAGTAGGTAAAACACCGGTACAACAGAACAGGCTTTATTGACCAATCAGAAGCCGGAGCCACGCGTCAGGCGCCTTCCATCCGAGTCCACCAGGCTGGCCACGCCGCTCATTATATACTGCATCTCATTCATGTCCTTCTCTGGTTGGCTTCCTTCCTTTCCCGCATACCATTGGATCGCAGAGAGACACGGGATTAGCTGAGGCCAGGTGGTCCAACATGTCTGCGCCCTAATCCGACGACACACTGCCTCCCCCTCAGCAGTGAAGCTGTCCTCAGCTTCTGGCTTGGTTCGCCGTACTGTTCGTGAG